GTAGAGAGTATGGCACGATAGGAAGGTTACAGACAGCTGGTACCCTCTTATCGCGCCATACTCTCTACCAGCAGTCTGCCACCCTCCTATCTCCCCATACTCTATCAGCTTGCTTACCCTGTCGCTGACGCTGTCGGAAGCTCGAAACGCCAGTGGAAGCTGCTGCAAAGTATGAACGCAACGCATGTATAGCACGGCTCGGAAGAATTGCAGTGAAATTTTCAGCGAAATGGCTGCTAAAATCACGCCTGAAAATCCAGATATCCAAGTAATAGATGCGGAAGGATTGTTTGTGATGCCCGGTGGAATTGATCCTCACACTCACATGCAGTTCCCATTCATGGGTACAGTTTCTATGGACGACTTCTTCTCTGGCACACGGGCTGCTCTAGCTGGTGGAACAACAATGGTTGGTTGAGTTGCCAGATATACCAAATTAGTACAAGGTACTGAATGTTTGTTAAAAGATTCTCCTGTTTAGATAATTGACTTTGTGGTCCCCACGAAGGACACCACTCCAATTGCAGCATACCGTCAATGGAGAGAGTGGGCAGATCCCAAGGTACTTTTCATTATGGCCTCCCCTTCTGCATATGGTCATCTTCGTCAGGTTGTTTGCTTGTTGGGTGTATTCTATCAGAGAGTTCTATATTAAATAAAGAGCTGTCTGGAGAGTTCGGATCTGCTGGGTTGGATAGGGCATGAGCCAAGATGTTAGAAGCGCACTTACGCTGAACTCGGCCCACAGTGGGCGGACCATGCTCGGAAGTGAGCGATGACAAGGACAAGTTTCGCAATTCGTTTTCATTGCAGCTCAGAGTTCAAGGTAAAAAGATGTGATGCTCAGTAATGGGTAAACCAATGAAATAAGGGAGACATACCTGAAATGGGTGGGGCGTAACCAGATTAGTGATAAGAGCCCATTAGCGCGCCTCCAAGCGCGAGGTATTTTTTCAAAAATTTGCAGTTCGGGTCCAGTGCACTCCAGAGACCGAGTAATGTAGAATAAAGTTGGCGAATGTTCAGAGAAGGATGGGAGACACACACACACACACACACACACACACACACACACACACACACACACACACACACACACACACACACACACACACACACACACACACACACACACACACACACACACACACACACACACACACACACACACACACACACACACACACACACACACACACACACACACACACACACACACACACACACACACACACACACACACACACACACACACACACACACACACACACACACACACACACACACACACACACACACACACACACACACAGTGGGCTAATGCGTGCCGCTAAGATGGGCGGGACTGAGCTGAAAGATTCATGAATCGCTCCTGGTGCACTAGAGGGGCCGGAAAACGTGGAGTGGTCCTGCAGGGGTTCAGAGAAAAGAATAAGAGGGACATATCCGTCGTGAATGGAGCCTGCGTTGAGGTGGGAGGGGCCTAAGTCAAAAAGTATCGAATGAGAAATGAACTCAAACATTTTAAAGAAAATCTTTGCTGTACTTCAAAACACCGATGAAGAAAAAGAGCCGTTGCTGATGAGTATGTTTTGCAATAATGCAGTCTTCTCGATTACATTAGAACTCATATAGGCCAAGCAGTGCAGACCAACAATATCCCTCAGACGGTAGCATTCTTGGGCCGAAAAAACGATCAAAAACCTTTGGATGTCAACAGAACTTGTAACCAATATCAATAAGGAAGTTATTGTTAACTCGCTGGCCTCACATTTGTTATTTGGAGAATTTATTTTAGTGAATTCGGTTCTCTTCTTTTTCACTGCGCTTTCACTAGCAGTAAAGGGGGCAAAGAAATGGGGACAAACAACGAAAGATTGGACCAACATCATGAAATGGTTCAAGTCCTTCTCAGAAACTTCTAGCCCAGGGCTAGGAAGCACTGGAAAGGAAATACTATGACAGATGAAATTCTTTTGAAAAGTAAACGAAGATAACAGGTATGCTGTGATTATGGACTATCCATGGCCATCACAAGCTGGAGTCCGAAAATTGCAGAGGAAATGGAAATACTAACGAGACCAGAGTATGGTAAGTATTGTCACGGTAATGCCTGCTTTTGCAATGGGGCTCAACATTCTGGTCAGAGCGATTACGTAAGGTGAGAAAGGCGCACAAAAACAGTAATTTCACTCACCTTTCTATCAATTTTTTACCGCTCTATTATCAGCAAGGCTTCCGGATGCGCATTAGAGTTGTAGAGAGTAAATAGTAGAGTAACCACATACGTAAACAAATGGGATGTAGGGCCAGAGCACGCCCTACGTTGGGGACCCCCAGAGGAGTGGTATTTGGTCGCTAGAGGGAGAGGCAGTCATATTGGCTTCGTGAAAAAGGTTTTTGACTTTTCTCAGTCGTTTCCGTTGCGCTGGCGCTATATAACACCTCTCCCCTCACTCCCCGTGGAGTTTCTCAGGGGAAACAGTGGAAGACAGGGCACCCGTTGTTGGTGATTCCCCAACAGAGGGGTCGCATTTGGTCGCTGGGGGAAGGGGGACGTAACGGGTCTGAAACAAAATTTTCCGATGGTTGATCTTTCTCGTTTTAGAGGCGCTATAAAGGGGGAGGGGTCGTAGGGGTTTGTTTGCTGTTGGGAAGGGGGGGGGGGTCGTGTCGCTTCCAGCCTTCAAGGAGATTTTCCTGACTCTTCGTGGTTCTTCCTTTTCCAATGGATGATTTTTCTTGTTTTAGGGGCACTATAAAGGGGGGTCGTATTTGTTTGGATGTTGGGAGGAGGGGGGAGGTAAGGGTTGTATCTGGCCTCTAGCCTTCTACGAGAGGTTCCTGACTTTTCGTGATTCTTCCTGTTTCTTATGTATTATGCACCTCCTTCGCTTCCCCCCCCCTCCCCCCCCCCTCCC